GGCGAAGCTCCTCACAGTCTTCGGCAAGCGGAGCCCTGGTCTTAAGCTTACATAGGGCACGATGTTGCGAGCGACCGGGGCATCCAGGCAGGGGGATGGTGGTCATTGTGGAGGGGAGCCAACTGGCGGTTCGACTTCGCCCGATGCAGGCTGGAGGCTTCGGGAACCTTGCACCTCTCGACCTTTCCCTGATTCTGACGATAGTTGGAAGTTAGGTTTGTGTTAGTTCCACTTCGAAAACGTTTTGGAAGTCAGAGGGCGCGCTGCGTGGCCTGGGTCTTGGTTGGCCACCTGCAGGCTGGGAAGTTATTCATCGTCTGCCGAAAAAACTAAACTTCTCAGCCCATGCGTGGGAGAAAATTGTATTCGCCCGGATCCATCTCGTCCTAGAACCCACGTTGTCCCTCGCGCGGGCGCGCGGAGAAAGGGGGAGAGATCAAGGGCAGCATAGTTGGATTAGCTTGCGGCTCTAAGCAAAGTTTTGCCTTTGCTCACGCAATGCCAATCTTGCGTCACGTACGAGGCAAAATCGACGTCGACTCCATGATGCGAACTCCACGTCGTTGGCAATCCCATATCCACAATCGCGAACAGTGCTTCCTTGAACGTCAAGCGATGCTCACAACGGTGACAGCTGCCGTGTGGAACGACAGTGGGTTGCTTCAGATGGCGTTGAGAGAAAGCGCAGCATCTCGTAGCGAACCGCAGTGCAACAACAGACAGGAGACAGTCAGATGACAAGACCGGCGCTCATTCCTGTTCTCATGCGGATGCCGTGGCAGTTCCATTCGCAGTTGAGACGGCAAAGCAGGTGTCCGCTCACGGACGTGCCTCGGAGACCAGCAGAACATGGCACGACCAGTGTGTGGTGGCCCAGGTGCGGTGCATGAGTGCGCGGGCAGGCATGGCGCGAGTTCATGTGTGTCCGACGGTGCTCTCCCAGCGGCTTGGGATGCGCCCACCGGGATCGACGCCAAGCGAAAATCGTTTCATGCGCCTGTTCGAACGAGGGAGGATGGGCAACTATGGCCGACAATGGCTTGCCAAGACTGGGTGTTTGGGACTCTTGCATGGGGTGATGGGTGATAATGGGAGGCTGTCTTGACTTATGCGGAACGAATGAGCGTATCAAAAGACAGGATGTTATTTCTGGCGGATATGCAGGTACGGCGACGATGGTCCAGTGATATTCGGTGCTTTGTGATCTCGTGTGTATGTTTATTCGTGAGTGAGGCGGCTGTCGTGTGCGAACAGAGTTTATGAGGGCTGTCGCGGCTGTTCCGTCGCATCTCTTCGCCTCGGGGCGGAGATCTCGGCAGTCCCAATAAGCAAGTCATTGGGGCTCCCGCTTCAACACACACCGCGAGGATGTCTCCGCGCAGAAACGCATCCCACGGCAAGGCAAGGACCTGTCGCAGCATTGTGAGAGTAGAGCCCTTGGAGAATCAGCATGTGGTCCAGGCCCCCGACTCTACACAGCCACATATGCATATTCGGCGGGGAACGTTTGTTGCACGTGTGAAAAGACCCCGGCGGATGTCGCTATTTTCAGGATTAAACATGCTCAATTAGATGGGTCCATGATCTCCCAATCGGATCTAGCCAAGCTCTGGGCTCAATCTCGTTACCAAAAGAAGGGTCTCTCAGAGGTGCATGACCGAGTCAACGAAGGCCTGGAGATGGTTATGTCATGGCGTCCGAGAGCGAGCTGCTGCTGACGTACGCTCGTCAGGCACGAATAAGGGCAGGAAAACTGGTCCGTGAGGAAAGTGAAGGCATCACGAGCCATTCGCAATGATGACTTACGCAGTCCGAAGGTTCCGACTACGAGAGTCTGGCGTCCGGAGATGAGCCGGAGTTGGTCCGAATCCACCGGCCGGAGTCCTTGCCGCCCGGAGGTACGTACCGGTCTCCACCAACGGAGTTTCCCCCGCAAGTCACCGGAGGGCAGTCTTCTCTTCCCCGCGCGATCCTTCTTAGTCCCCATCAGCTTGGTAAGACACTTGGCTCGGTATTGTGTGCAACTCTCGCGCTCAATAATCACCCGCATTCAATTGCTACCGATAATGGAGCTGTGCTGAGGATCTGTCTCTTCGCCCATGCTGCATGTAACCGAACCACTTCCCAATTATTTACGTCATGACTTTTCTCCCCCGGCTCTTATCAGAATGAGCTGCCTGTCCGGGTCGAGGACGCAATCAATCTGTGCCGGCTCAAGCTACGCGATCCCCGGAACTGCTTATCACTCGCTTGCCGTTGTCGGTGCCGTGCCGAGAGAGACACTAAACCACGCGATGCACCGGTAAACCGTGCTAGACATGCAGGACGAGATTGGCCTGACCGGGATATCAACATGCATTTATATGTGCTCGCGTCCAAGTTATGGTCCAAGCAACCTCAGGAGCCCGTGAAGCATCACTCAACACCAAGCCAATTGAGCTGGTCCCAAATCGTCGACACTTGCCTCCCTCTCCTCACCCTCAAACATGGCTGTGCAGCGGCCGTTTCTGGCCGTGGCTCTGATCTGGCTGAGATTCGCCAGCATCGTCAGCTGCTTGACTGGTGCGTATCGGCCGACCAGTCACCTGTCTCACGTTCGTGAATTGACTTTCGTCTCAGTCAAGGGGACCCCGTTCCCGAGTCTCATTGATGTTACCATCGATGAGCTGGCGGAAGGCCTGGAAAACGGCCTCTTCACCAGTGTCGATCTTGTGAACGCCCATCTCGGGCGCATCGGCCAAGTCAACAGCACCTTGAATGTCGTGACAGAGGTTAACCCCGACGCGGTCTCCATCGCAGCGGACTTGGATGCCCAGCGGGCCAATGGCACTATCAAGGGACCGCTTCATGGGATTCCAATCCTCATCAAAAACAATATTGCGACGGCTGACCAGATGAATAACACTGCCGGATCATGGGCTCTAGTTGGCGCCAAGGTTCCCCAGGACAGCTTCATGGCGAAGAAGCTTCGTGAGGCTGGAGCGATCATTCTGGGCAAGACAAACCTCAGCCAGTGGGCAAACTACAGAAGCAACAATACCAACAACGGCTGGTCTGCTTACGGCGGACAGGTTTATGCGGCCTACTATCCGCAGCAAGATCCCAGTGGAAGCTCGAGTGGCAGCGGAGTGGCATCGGACTTGGGACTTGCCCTCGCAGCACTGGGCACTGAGGTGTGTTATCCTTGAGTGAATGAGTTCTTGTAGCTCATACTGACAATATGTAGACTGACGGTTCGATTGTCTCCCCTTCGCAACGCAACAACCTCGTAGGGATCAAGCCCACAGTCGGCCTGACGTCTCGGCATCTCGTGATTCCCATCAGCGAGCATCAAGACACCATAGGACCGATGGCCCGGACGGTCAAAGACGCAGCTTACATCCTCCACGCCATTGCCGGTGCAGACCCCAAGGACAACTACACGTCTGCAATCCCCAATAACGGTGAGATCCCCAACTACGCAGCCGCTTGCGACATGTACGCTCTTCGCGGCGCTCGCATCGGCATTCCGCGTAACGCCATAGAGCTCTTCTCCGACAACACCACCGGCACGGAGACTGATGCCTTCGAGGCATCCCTTGAAGTCTTCAAATCAGCCGGTGCGACCATAGTCGACAATGCCAATTTCACCGCGGCAGCCCAGCTAGTTAACTCAACCTCGGAGACAATCGTGTTGAACGCAGACTTCATCACCAATCTCGCAGCCTACTTGGCCGAGCTCAGCTTCAACCCCAACAACGTGACATCCCTCGCGGATGTCCGCAAATTCACGCAGTCGTTCGGTCTTGAGGACTACCCAGACCGCAACACGGCCGTCTGGGACGACGCCCTGGATGTGCAGGGCTTCAATAACACCGACCCGCGGTTCTGGGCCGCGCTGCAGGAGAGCAACTACCTCGGCGGCGAGGGCGGCCTGCTTGGTACTCTGGAGAGGCACAAGCTCGACGCTGTGATCCTGCCGACGAGCTTCTCCAGCACCTGGGCGGCCATCATCGGGGCGCCGGTCGTGACGGTCCCGCTGGGGTTCTATCCGGCGAACGCGACGGTTATCAAGAATCGGAGGGGCAATCTGGTTGACACTGGCCCACACGTTCCGTGAGTATATCGATGTAATATTAAGCGCTTTGTCATTAACTGACAGACATTAGGTTCGGAATCAGCTTTCTTGGGGCCAAGTTCCAGGAGGCGAAGCTCATCGGGCTGGCGTACGCCTATGAGCAGAGGACGCTGACTAGATCCAAGGTCCAGCCGTACATCACGCCGAACATCGAGATTGGCGACTATGCTGGGTACTAATTGAAGTTTTTTCGACTGTTAAGGGGTTACCTGTACAAGATTATGACTGTACTTCTATTCTGCAGTGCTCACGGATACCATCAAGCCGTTGGAGATACCTACTGCATTCGGCCGGCAAGCTACCGGACCTTTTTCAATGTATATTTGAGCGTGTAATACAGCACAACATTGTATGTACAGGACCGGAATCTTGTGCAACGAGGCTCATCAAAAGAAAAGGTCCATGAAGCAAGGAGGGGTGCCGCGAACACTCCGAACCGTCCGCGGCCCGTGTCCCCACTCGGCACCGAATGGCCGGCCCGGTCGTCTGAGGCCTGGTCCGTCTACACAGATGAGAAATCGCGTTTGAGCGTACATATTTCCTATAATGATGTCAATCGGAGTTGCGCTATGTAGCCGTGTTACATCGCAGCCTACGTTCTTCTACTATTTGAAGCCCAGCCACGTCCAATCTTTGGAGGTTCATCCCACACTATGAAAAGTCTGGTGTATGCTTCGAAAAACACGTCCTAAGATTGGAGTGCTGTTCATGAGAACCAAGTCCAGGTTCGCAAGAATCTTATCAACGGCATATGTTTAACAGAAGCGGTAAAAGTAGCAAAAGCAGTCTTCCTGATTACCTGGTGACCGAGCCACAGCCTCCGGAGAGTGCAAAAGGAAGGTCAGTACTGTGAAAGGGAACCAAAAAAAAGTAAAAGAATTAATAGCACAACCTGGTTTCGATCCAGGGACCTCTGGGTTATGAGCCCAGCGCTCTACCCCTGAGCTATTGTGCTTGAAGGGTGGTTGCTGGATTTTGTTCCAGTCACATACATACAGGGTTGAGGGTGTGACTCATCGTGCGGTGGAGAGTATTCCCCACGCTAACTCAACACAGACAAAAACAAATTTAAAGCCGATGATCTCCGAAGGGCAGTGTGAATGCATTTCTCGTCTTTTAAATCACATCCAATGCATTTCACCGTCAAATTTTGAAGAAATTATTATGCGCAAAATCATGATGCTTGGTCTAGATTGGGATATCTATGGAATGACTAGGCGGACCAAATCGCCTTGGTATATTCGCAGGACATGATATTCAGAACGACAGTAAAACACCCTTTTTCTTTCTCCCATTTACAGCAGCCACGAGACGAAGACTCTGTAGAACCATCCTCCACGGCTCTCCTTGCCGCCGCGAGCCTCCTGCTCGGCAGCCTGGCGGGCCAGGAACTCCTCCTCCTCACGGTCAATGATGTCCTTGCCGGTGTAGAAGTCGGCCTCGTGGGGCTTGACGCCGCGGGTCTTGTAGTAGAACTTGTGGCCTAAGATGAGGATGAGGTAGAGCGGGATGCCGAGGTAGCCGGTGATGAAGGTCTTGTACTTCTCCTTGCCGAAGTCACCGCCGGTGAAGACGTCGTAGTTCTTGGTGAGGGCGACGATGCAGCACATGGCCAGGGCGGCGTAGGAGCCCCAGATGCCGAGGGGAGCGACGTAGGGCATGATCTCGTTGGGGATGTTCTGTGCCTTGCGGGCCTTCATCCACCAGATGTGGGTGACGAGGATGGAGATCCAGGTGAGCAGACCGAAGATGGTGGTCAGGTTGACGAAGTAGCCGAAGATCTTGGTCGAGTCGCTGGAGACGTTCATGAAGGCGAGGAGGGCGAACATGGCAGAGAAGCCGAGGGCGTAGACGGGGACGCCGCGCTTGTCGGTGCGCTTGAAGATGGCGGGGGCGGAGCCCTCAGATGCGAGACCGTAGAGGGTTCTGCTGGCGATGTACAAGTCGGAGTTGGACGCGGAGAAGACGAAGACGCAGATGCAGGCGTTGATGATGTGAGGGACGACCTTGACGCCGGCAACCTGGGCAGCAACGACGAAGGGGGAGGCGGAGGCACCGGTAGATTGCTTGTTGGCGAAGGCGAGCTCGGGGGAGTTGTAGGGGACGAGCATGCCGATGAGCAGGACGCTGAGGCAGTAGAAGAACAGGATACGGTAGAAGGTCAGCTTGATGGCGCGGGGAACGGTCTTGCGAGGGTTCTGGGCCTCAGCGACAGTGACACCGACAAGCTCGGTACCGAGATAGGCGAAGGTGGCGTTGACCATGCAGGACCAGAAACCGAGGAAGCGGCCGGCATCACCGGTGTCGATGTACTCCTTGAAAGCACTGGAGACGATGTTAGCGAGGGGACACTGCGAACTGCGTCGGGCACAACACATACCCAGGATCCTTCCAGTAGCGGAAGCCGGTCGCTTCGCCGTTGGGTCCACCACCGCAGACGAGAATCAAAGAGAAGAGAATGATGGCGACGATGACGATGACCTTGAAACTGGACAGCCAGAACTCGAACTCGCCAAAGAACTTGATGCCGAAGTAGTTGATGCAGATGATGACGACCAGGAAGATGGCGATGAAGACACCGGGGTTGACTCTATCGCGGTCAACCCAGTATTGGATGACGAGGGCCGCGGCGGTAAGCTGGTTGGGCGTGACGATGATGTACTTGAACCAATAACTGTTTGTGACACCCATTAGCACTCTGCCCGAACGGTTGCCGCGGGGAACATAGCAGGAGAGACTCACGTCCAGCCGAGCGCAAAACCAAGGGAAGGGTCGCAGAATCTCGAGGCGTAACCAGTGAAACCAGAAGAGATGGGCAGCCAGGCGGCCATCTCACCGAGACCAGCCATGACGAGGAAGACGATGAAACCGACGAGAGTGTACGAGATGAAGACGGAGCCCGGACCGGCCTGCGCGAGGGCCTTGCCGGTTCCGATGATGAGACCGGTCCCGATGGCACCACCGATGGCAATCATGGTGATGTGGCGGGCCTTGAGGCCTCTCTCCAGCTTGGTGTCGGCGCTGGTCTCGAGACCGCGGATGTGGACATTTTCGGTGTCGTCGTAGGTCTTGGTCTGGAAGGCCGTCTTCTCGGGGTCGTGGGCGCCCTCCGAAGAGGACGTCCGCTTAACGAGGCCGTCGCTCATGGTTGCGGCGTGAAGAACGACGAGTGATGGTTCTTCTTACACGTCAAACACGGGAGTGAGACTCTCTTGTCTGTGGGAGAGGGATATCAAAAGAGGGTCTCGATTGGACAGACAAGAGCTCAAGGAGCGAGAGAGGGATGAGAGGAGAGAAGAAGGAATCACGACCGAGCAGTGAGGGGGGGATTGGAGGTTCTTTAATTAAGTTCTGGGTGCCGCCTCGACGGGACGGAAGACGGGGGGGCGGACGCGATAGAGGCGTGTACCGCATGTGAGACGGAAGCACATTGGGACTGGCATCCGGCGCACCGCACCACAACCTGTGTCCCTCCCGTTCCCGCATGTAAGAGCAGCAGAGCTCACCTCACGTCCGAATTCCCAAATTCGCCTCGCGGGTTCGTGGGCTGGACCTGGAACCCGGCCACACTAGCTTGGTCTTGGGGGTGATGGAAGACTGGGGGTGCGGCCGGGTTGGCGTCGTACGCTAAGATAGACACCGTCGAGCGATCCCTGCAGACGCCGCCGGGTTGCGTTGCGTTGACTGGCTGCGACGGCGAGGTACCGAACGGTCCTGACTTGTATGTATTACATGTAGGTTATTGACTTGCTAGCGCGGGAGGCTGCTATCTTGCTGCTTGCTTGCGGTATCTCTATCTCTTGTGGGTTCTTTCTTGGGGTTGGCCCGGTCGTGTTCATGTTCCCCGTTATGGAGTCAGTGTCCCGCCCCGAGCTCGCGGTTCCTTCTTCAGTGTGGGGACTGGAGCAGGCAGACCGGAGGCACAGTGAGCAGCGTGCGACGTGCGTACGTCCCCTTGTTGTGTCTCCATGTGTCTCCTCAGTGAGCTCCCCTCCCCGTTTCTCTGCGGCCTGCGGTTGGGCCAGCGGCGGCCGAGGGTTCTCGCGAGCATGAGGGGGAATTGGCTTTGCCAATGGGCAGCGGGTTGGAACTTGGAGGAATGGCGTCTGGCAGCAGCTAGACCGCACTGGGAGACAGAGCTCAGAGAGATGGGGTCGTGGCAGGGGTGCGGTAGGCGAATGGAGGTGGTGGTCACTGGTCAAAGACAAGGATGAAGAGGGTTTGGGTCTTCGGTGGCTACGGTCAATCATGGCGGCAGAGGCAAAACGGTTCGGAGTCTATCGTGTGTAGTGTAATCTGCAGATATCTCTGACGGTGATTGGGTGCGCATCCAACGCCATTCAGCCTTGGCGGACGACACTGACGGCAGGTGAGAAGAGCGTAAGAAACTTGATCGTGCGGGGTGGGCGTGATAAAAGTTGGGGGCGCTGTCACTGTTCATCTCGAGAGTTCCGAGTGATGATGGCGGTGGTACTTGGCGGACAAAGTCACTCGTTAACGCCAAGTATCGTCGACCGCCGAGCACGAGTCGTGAGTTTGCAGCTGACGACCCCGGCTGCGGTGCCTGAGATGCCTAGAGATTGCCCAGTCTCGACAGCACAAGTTGGCGTGGTGATACGGGCAGTTGGGAGAAGCTTAGACGGGACAAGCAAAAGGACCAAGACGCAAAGTACCTGGAGCCGCGAGACAATCCAGACGATCCTGGGACTCCTGGCCGAGGGTGGGCAGCCATCGGTGGTACCAAGAAAACACCAAGACATTGGGCGGATGCAAGAGATTCCTTCCATGCCTTGCTGCACGCATTCGGAGTGCCCTGCTGAAGAGCTGCAAACAGCGCCCGCAGACACGAAATTGCCATTTCATCCATGGGAACATCACAAGAAAAATTTGCACAAAAAAGAGACCTGTCGCGTGTTGAGTTGCTGCTGACACCATGCGATGCTTATCTCTGATGGCGAACTGAATGAAGACAATTGAAGGTTTTTTCCTCGCTAGATTTCCTTGATCGCAGATTTTAGTGGCTCCAACAGCGAAAACAACCTTGTCTTGTCCGCTAATCCAAGACGGTCCGTCACATTGAAACCACGCGAATCCGCCCGTCAGACACGGGATATTTCGTCAGCCTGGCGCGGATGCCAGGAAGCGCAGCTGAACGTGCAACAACAAGAAACGGTACAGAAGAAAGCCTATCTGCCAGAGCAATCACAGCTGTGAATTAAGGTATCCCTCTAGAGTAGCAGAGGCGTGGGTGACCCGGACAAGGCGCACCTCCAACATGCAGTTTTCCAGTGCCTCGGGGTGTGTTGTGTTGTGTTGCCAGGACCATCTCCTCCACCACACCACACACCACCATGACCACCGTCTTCATCTCCAGCAACTCACAGAGAGCCAAGAGATAGAGAGCTCACGCGATGCGAGTTCATTCGGGCAATCTGCGGGGGCATATTTCAGCCACGATTCAGCATCTTGCCAATCATGCCCCAGACGCTCTGACCCAGAAAGGCTGCTCGCTCGCTGCTCAGTGCTCAGTGCTTCTCATCACTCACTCCCGCTGAAGTGACCAGGTCCTTTCGCGGCTGCTGCTGCTGCTGCTGGGAAGACCTAGCCTAGCAACAGGGGGGTCGCCTAGGAAAGGTTCACGAGACATGATAAATATCGGCGTGCCCGTTCATCCAGTGACATTGCCGCTGAAAGTAAGTAAACTGACACGGACAGTTACAGGCTACAGAGGACCAGGCCATTCACTACCTAGGCTAGAGCCGTCTGCCAAAGTGGCTGCATTGGCCCTGATTCCTGGAGCTTGGGGTGGTGGAAAAGTGCCCTGGCGCATCTGCACGAGCGGCTTGTCCATCTCTTGGTGGTTACTGTGGCCTCGAACATCCCGTAGCTAGGCATTGCTTGTTGCTCAACACAGACTAAAAGGGCAGAAACGCCTGGCAGATGTAGGGGCCGCGA